GGAGTGCTTATTAAGATAACGTTTTGCAGTAGGAGTAACGTATTCTAGTTGGAGTGGGGAGACCTAACAGGCTATATTTCCTAAAAAGATAAGTATTTTGGTTATCAATTGGTAATTTCTTTTTTTATAAGGAGGTTATTTCCTTAGCCCATAGGAGTAGATTTGGTTGTTAATAAAAGATAAAGTTGGATTAAGAAGGTTTTATGTTGTCTTTTGGAATAGGACGTGCAAGGCGTGAGTAGAAATTGAATCAATAGTATTTTGTTAGTTATCTTATTTTAGTATTATATTTAGGGTGGTGAATATGAACTCCGATAAAAGGACCATGTAAATTATAATTGAAGATTAAATTTTATGGAATAAAGAAAGTCTTTCTTGTAGAAAGAGAGGCCCCTTCGTGGGTATTTTTTTTTTCTTCTATTGAATTTGGTCCGTGTTGAAATACTCATCCCCAAATTTTAAATACTCATCCCCAAATTTTATTCTTTCTCCTTGTGATTCCTATCTAGATTTTTACTTCTCTCTCTAAAACGCGGTTATTTTGTTAGGTGGTATTCGTCGATTTTATGCTGCATCTCTCTGTCACTTGAGTAGGTTGGAATATCGGGTACCCAAACTATGAAACGGTGAAATGTAGTTAGGTTCTAGGTACGCCCATATTAGGTCCCGAGCCAACCATTTTGTGTAGCTATGGGGTCTTACACTCCCAACTGCCCGAGTCGAGAAGCTAGGTCCTTCTCATGACTTTAACACCTGTTTAGGGAGCTTTTTGAAAAAATCAAATTAGTTTCACCCATAAAATGTGCAAGAATAGTGTAGAGAAGAGCACTCTTATGAGTGCGTTTGGAAAGGTGCGATAACAGAGAATTTACTCTTCCCTGGAAGATCTCCGGTTCATTTTGAAAAACTTCATTGTTCAATGATGCTAGGAGCATTGCCCCCTGAACAAAACACAAGACTATAGCCAGAGAGATGAGGACGCATGTTCATTACAAGATAAATTATCGCACAGCATGATCACCCTCAGTGACAAGGGACATCTGAAGAAAACAAACATTCGAGGTATGTGAGTATCCACTGTGACATTGGCATGAGATTTCACAACTGAAATCGCTTATCATCCCTTCCAGTAGCATGTATGGCAGATAGGTACGAACATCAAGGACGTTTTCAAGTTAGTTGCTTCGGTGCAACCTTGGGGCACATGGCTGCGATTGAAGTTAGCCTGCATGATGTAAGTCCCATAAATCTTAATTCCGTTTATAATTTACATTGTGACATGTGACTCACACCACACCTGTTTAATAGGACCACTATTACCATAGAGGTAGAGGTGTATATGTTGATCCCTACTACCCATTATACCATGAGAGAAATAATCCATCATCTATTCCCTGTATGACTATATTAGGAATTGGAGACTTGATATTGTCATTTTAGCGTGCCTTCCCATGGTCATATGCATGATTCAATTGGGTTAAGGGCAAATCTAAAAAAATAGTCAAGTCAAAACAAAATAATAGAAGAGCTCCTACCCTATATTCTACCATTTCTCAATATAGAGGAAGACCATTTCCATTACACTCCGATTGGTACCTAGAAAGATCAGGATAATTCATAATGCTCATCAAGTACACATGGAGAAAAGGGTTTTAATCTTGGATGTTCTTATGCAAAATGATTTCAAAAAACTATTATAATAAAATACAATATTTTTACAAATGACTTTCTTGATTTTCATGAGAACAATGTTTTATTTGATCTGCGGGAGTAAAAGACGAGGTTAAGTAGTCTTCTGAGCATAAAAAGCTCATGAGGGATTAATTCAGATACTCAATCTGATATGGTGAACCGTACCTAAGGTGGAGCACTTTGGACAAGAGAGGAGGAATTCCACATTAGTTTTAAAGTAAAATTTAATGTAATTCTCTATGTTCAATAGAAAATATAATGTGCTTCAGAGATGCAATCGCTCTTTTAAGATCTCACAATTTATTCCCCTTTGTAGTGTAAGGAAGAGTTTCTTATAGATCGGCAATATTCATTCACATTAGCACAGAGTGGGCGACGTTGATTTTTTGGAGGTCGAACCTATTTGTGGGTAGAAGGACCTAATTGGGATTTAAGACTGTGATTATGGCAAAGACATAACGAGGTCCAACCCAAAACCCAAATTCTCTTAAATTTCTTTTGGGTGGTCAAAATTGCAAGGAAAACTCCCACATAGTTAAATCTCTCGCCAAAATTTCGGCAAGCGAAAGTTCACCACTTTGCGTAAATTTTTTGGATCGAAGTGGAGCCATTCACAAAAGGGGCACTTTAGTCAGTTCGAACGTGAAAATCACATCAAGACACGGCCCACGCCAGCCGACAACCAGGAGAAAGCAACGGCCTTTTCTGCTCATAAATGTCCAGTCGCTAAGGGGAGATGACACGAGTCCGTACAATTAAATTATTAAACAAAGAAATACAATAATAGACAGTGTCCAATCACGGATTCCTGGGAAATTGGTAACGTTCTGATAAGGAGGCA